GCTTTTAATTCTTTCATAAATGGCAGCTGTTCTGAACACCTGGATTTTTCTGTCACAGATAAATTCTTATACACACCCAGGGAATGTGCGGCCCAGGTGAAGTATGAAGAGGCTGTGATGCAGAGAAAGCACTTGCTCATATGAGCACATGAGGCACAGGTCCATGTGCTGCCCAATCCTCCGGTGCCAAATTAGCACTGAATACGATATGATAATTAATCACTGACAGCCCTGAAGATTTCCTGCTCACGTTGGTGGCAATCTTGGAAACTCTCTGTACAAGATGAATAAACCAATGGCAATGCGAGCTGTGGAGGTTGATGTGAGAAATTTCAGTGCTAAACAATTAGCTGCTTTAACCCTTTTCCTCATCTGGCCTTAACGAGGTTAAACTGTGCTTAGTCTTTCTTATGAAAAATCCTTTATAGCTCATGTAATATATTTACTTGTATTTTGTACGTCAAGCTCAGCGTTAAGCCACAAGCCTCATTATCTTCATGGAAAAAAAAAAATCTAGTTTATAGTATTCAGTCCTAGACCCTACAGAATTTACGGTGGTAAATGTCTCAAGCCTTCCTGCATCAGAAAGGGCCCACTCACATAACACCGCAATCTGGTTTGAACTCCAACTGGCATTAAATTTAGTAGGAGGCCTGTAATACAATAACTATAACAACACAATTGTGGCCCGTCTGACAGTGGAAAATAGGTTTTACAAGTAGTAATCTGTGTTATCCTCTGCAGCACAAATATAATCTTATGTCTATATATATACACATAGTGCCTTTCAGAGACCCTGCAACAGCGAATATGGGTAGGGGGAAGATGTTTTTCATCTACAGAAGCATAACAGTGACATCCTTTAGGAAACCTGCACTTTGTGATGCTGCCATCCATTTAGAGAAGAGGGTAAACTGATAATTAGTGGTAATTATAGACTGAAGAACCGGGAGAGGTAAAACAAGCCCAGAAGCCCCCTTCCTTCTTGTGCTTAACCAGGGCCTCTTCTTTTCACATCTGAGATAAGGAATGTTTGAAGTATAAAAATGGTATTTACAAGTGACCACAGATGCAACGACCCCTTGTTCCTGGGGTAGGCTGTTACCTCATTACTGCACTGAGTAGGCTGAAGAAATTAGCAAAACTTTGCTGGTTGCCTTCGCGTCAAATGATCTTTTCTAATTTACCAGTGACCACTGTACCTCATGCCTTGTGGATGCTACACTACAATAACCCCGCTTAATCACACCTAACGTCTACATATTCCTAAAAGCCCCAGTTGGATTTTCTCAGTAAGACATTATAAATCCTTAGCGTTTACATGCCCATGTGCTTTAGGCCACGTTGGCCAAAAACAAATGTAATCATCACCTACAGTGCATCCAGAAAGTATCCACATTGCTTAACTTTTGCCACATTTTGGTATTTTACAGCCTTATTCCAAAATGGATTAACTTCATTTTTTTCTTCAACATTCTACAAACAGTACCCCACAATTACAACTTGAAAGAAGTGCGTTTTGAAATCTTTGCAATTTATTAAAAAAAAAAAAAAAATAAAAACACATGTACATAAGTATTCACAGCCTTTGCTCAATACTTTGTTGAAGCACTTTTAGCACCAATTACAGCCTCAAGTCGTTTTGAGTATGATGCTACAAGCTTGACAGACTTTTTTTTGGGCAATTTCTCCCATTCTTCTTTGCAGTACCTCTCAAGCTCCATCAGGTTGGATGGGGAGCGTCGGTGCACAGCCATTTTCAGATCTCTCCAGAGATGTTCAATCGGATTCAAGTCTGGGCTCTGGCTGGGCCACTCCAGGACAGTCACAGAGTTGGCCTGTAGCCACACCTTTGTTAAGTAGACTGTGTGCTTAGGGCCGTTGTCATGTTGAAAGATGAACCGTTGCCCCAGTCTAAGGTCCAGAACGCTCTGGAACAGGTTTTCATCAAGGATGTCTCTGAACATTGCTGCAATCATCTTTCCTTCTATCCTGACCAGTCTCCCAGTTCCTGCTGCTGAAAAAACATCCCCACAGCATGATGCTGCCACCACCATGCTTCACTGTAGGGATGGTATTGGCCAGGTGGTACGTGGTGCCTGGTTTCCTCCAGACATGATGCTTGGCATTCAGGCCAAAGAGTTCAATCTGTGTTTCATCAGACCAGAGAGTTTGGTTTCCCATGGTCTGAGAGACCCTCAGGTGCCTTTTGGCAAGCTCCAGGTGGGCTGCCATTTGCCTTTTACTGAAGAGTGGCTTCCGTCTGGCCACTCTACCATACAGGCCTGATTGGTGGAGTGCTGCAGATATAGGTGTTCTTCTGGAAGATTCTCCTCTCTCCACAGAGAAATGCTGGAGCTCTTTCAGAGTGACCATCCAGTGCTTGGTCACCTCCCTGGCTAAGGCCCTTCTCCCTCGATTGTTCATTTTGGCCAGGTGGCCCGCTCTAGGAAGATTCCTGGTGGTTCCAAACTTCTTCCATTTACGGATGATGGAGGCCACTGTGCTCATTGGGACCTTCAATGCTGCAGAAATTTTTATGTACCCTTCCCCACATCTGTGCCTTGATACAATCCTGTCTCGGAGGTCTACGGACAATTCCTTGGACTTCATTGCTTGGTTTGTGCTCTGATATACACGGTTAACTGTTGGACCTTATATAGACAGGTTTATGCCTTTCCTAATCATGTCCAATCAACTGAATTTCCCACAGGTGAACTCCAATCAAGTTGTGGAAACAGCTCAAGGATGATCAGTGGGAACAGGATGCACCAGAGCTCAATTTTGAGTGTCATGGCAAAGGCTGTGAATACTTATGTACATGTGTTTTTTTTTTGTTTTTTATTTTTAAGAAATATGCAAAGATTTCAAAACTAACTTCTTTCATGTTGTCATTATGGGGGTATTATTTGTAGAATGTTTCGGGAGAAAATTAATTTAATCTATTTTGGAATAAGACTGTAACATAACAAAATGTGGCAAAAGTTAAGCGATGTGAATACTTTCTGGATGCACTGTATGTAGCACAGGCAGCCATTTTATCGACTGAATCAACATTTTTTGAGAAAAGCAAATGATTTCACACGGTGGTGTCATCATTCTGCAGAAGGCTGATTTCAGCCCTTAAAATAGCTGCTTGTTGTGCATACAGGTGCAGTGTAAATGTTAATCCTTTCATATTCATATACAATGTGCTTAAGACTATTCTAAATAAATTGTAAATCCTTTCTTATCAGTATACAAGTGCGATAAGTTTTATTTATTAATAAATGGACCTATAATGCAGAATGTCAGATTCACATAGATGCATATTAATGGTCACGAACTGATGCTCATTTTAAGGGACAAGTTTTCATGATGTGTATTGAACACTACAGAGTGCTTAAGACTATATCATCCTCGTCATGATTTTATTATTTTTGTCTTTTTTTAAGTTAATATTTACTACACTGAAATCATACAGCTTACCTAACCATGGTATCATGATAAAGATTACAATCTAGCAAGGCCCATGTAGATCATTCCATTAATGCAATTAGCCGCTTGTTCCATGGCAAGATGCTGGCAGCCATGCATTGGGCAAGGATACAAATTGGCATACAATTATATTTTATGAATATTATGCATCTGAACAGGTGTACGCTGTGTTTTTTTTAATCCAAAATCCACACCAAGCTGAAGTTTGCTGCATCAGCTTAGTGTTGGATCAAACTGATGTTCTCTACTCTGGCAGACTAGATGTCAGCATTTGCCTCACTTGGCCCTTAAAACTGTATTAATTAAAACAGATCTTTTGTAATTCTGACAAAGCCTAAACCCTCTTTTAAGCAGTCATAGAAATATTCTCTAAACAGAAAAGCAGCGGTGGCAGTTTGGGGAATTGACATTGGCGAAAAACTTTGCACATCCTGACTTTCTAGTATGAAAGATGCTATGATACTCTAAGCATTCAAGCATTTTTGTTAAAGAGACCATTAACTCCTTGTTAACAGAAAGGGAGGTTGGGTAGGTAGCAGGTAAACTCTGCTGTAAGAATGAGGCATGGATATCAGATTCAGCTTCTCTTCTGCAGTTTCCCCGCAGAACAACATTGAGTGGTTAAGTCCTCCCCAGTCCTGAAAGATGCAGAGCAGGGTTTTGGAGCAGATGCAAAAGTCCAGCCCTTTTTCTGGGGGGCCAGGCGTATGAGCAGCAGACAAATGGAAACTTCCCTGTGAGTGTGGGGGGGGCTGCTTTGTAAACATGACCTTTGAACTCTGTTGAGCTCCACTCCTGCCCACCCAGAACACCCTGTCCTCCGCAAATAACCAACAAAAAAATCTAGAACAAAATAAACAATGTTTTAACACCATCCCACATTGCTCGGCCCTCTGGCAGTGAAAGGGGTGTGGTATGTTGCATTGGGCCTCCCCAATAAATAAATATGTTCATATAAATACGTAAACAGTTCTTTGCACTGCAAATCAGTAGACACTCTTATGGTGGGGGTTTGCCACCTGAAGGGCATCACCCTATACCCCCTCTTGTATTTGGTCATTTAAAGGAGGTCATCAGGTGTAAGTTTGTTCCATCAGGGGTGATCTTTCTTGGGCGTTCAGCAGACAGACATAGAACACTCACAAGACACAACCTTGTGTTTAGGTAGCTTGGTTCTTGCTGCTTCTCCCCATAGTCACCTTTTTATTTTTTGGTCCTTGAGTGTGGGTGAGGGACAAAGGTCATGAGGCTCAAGGGTGGGAGGGAGTGTTTAGTAGGAAAAAGTCTTCTTTTTCCCTTAATCCTATAGGGAAGGATTCAGGAGTCAAAGGTCCATTGTGTACCTGTGGCATGAAAGACAAAGGAGTGTCAGAGGTTTTAGCTCCAAAAGCCAAAATAAGACAGCACAAAGGAGGGAATTAATCCAGTATATCATTCCCCGGTATAATCAACTGATAAAATTGGAAGTAGTATAAAGGAGACTATACCTGTATGATCAGGAGGGCCTATCGGCCTGTGGGTGGTCAGTATGGTTGGCTTGTGTCCTTGGGCCTCTTTAGCTGGACCTTAAGCCTTTTCATTCCTATTTGAAATCCATTCATGGCTTGGATTGCCGTTTGAGCACTGGATGGATTATCAAAACTGACAAATCCTGGTGAATGAGGTAAAAACAAGATTTAAAAGTAAAAATACACTTAAGTATTTGGCTTTCTTGTTTATGATCACTTGGTTTTATATTTCATGGTGGCAAATTACTATCCCTGACTAATGAAAAGATGCACAAAAAATACAGTTATAACGTGCCCCTTAAATAAAATAAATCCAGCTTTATACTCTGACTGATTCTGATTAGAACTCACCAAAACATTTGCTCTGATTGGTCGCTCGATCCATGAACACTTTGGATGAAATGATGTTTCCAAAGGGCAGAAACATTTGTGTAAGCTCATTATCCCCAAACTCTTGGGGCAGGTGATAGATGAATAGGTTACAGCCCTCGGGTCCTGTGAAATGATCACAGAGATATATATTACAAAGATGGATTACGTTTTTTTTGTACTCTGAGAGCACACAGCAACTGTCCAAGAAAGTGTATTTATGAATTAATGCTTTATCTTCTGTGGCTTCAAGGGAACCTCACAAAATACAATTCCGTTGTCTATGTACCACCTGTACATTCTCATGTTTTTTCTAGATATATGTATTATATTTGTATTTTTGTTATACGCTAATAAAACCTTTTGTAAAAGAGCCTCAAAAAATACTGTAGCGCTTAGGCTAGGTTCACATCTGTGCGGGTGGTACCGCTGCGGATCCACACAAAAATATATGCAGCTGCACCACCCGCACAGAGGAATGCGGACCCGCGTGTGGGTGCCATTAATTCTAATGGCACGCCGCCCGCACTGGAAATTGCAACCATCCTGGGAACCTCGGTTCCTGTGCAGGCTGTGTTTTCCAAAGAAGTGCAGGGACTTCTTCCCTGCATGTCCTGGGGCATGGGAGCCCATTCAAATGAATGGGCTCTCATGCCCGTGCAAAACGCGGCCCACACAGCCGCATATATGTGAACCGTGGGTTAAGCTAAATAACCTTATAGGTTTTTCATAACACCTAAATGAGCTTGTTGGAAATCCCATTTAAAACCATGAGCATTATTATGGAGGTGATACCACCCTTCCCTTTCTGGCTAGAACAGTCACCACTCTTCTGGGAAGACTTTCCACAAGATTTTGGAGTGTGTGACTTGGAAAGGGGGAAAGATCTGCCCATTTAGCCAAAAGAGCATTTGCAGGGTAAAATAATGATGTTGGATGAGAAGACCTACTGTAGCTCACAAATGGCATTATAATTCATCCCAATGTTGTTCGAAGGAAAAGATAACAGGGCTCCAAGCTGCTTGAATTCCTCCACACTATACTCATCAAACTATGTCTTAATGGGCCTGTCTTTGTGCACATGTGCACAGTTATGCTGAACAGAAATGGGCCTTCCCCAAAATGTTGCCACGTGGTTGAAAGTGCAAAATTGTCTAAAATGTGTTTGTATGCTATAGCATTAACAGCATCATCCTCTGGAAACATCTGCACTCAATGATTTGGAGGGGTGTCCATTTAGTGTAGGTGCCCATTTAGTGTAGGTGTGATGGTCAGGTGCCTACAAAAATTTAGCCATATAGTGTTTAACATGTTGCTTACCACCATGTTTGGTTTGAATGCTCCTGTATACATTGGCAGTGGTAATGCAGGACCCATATGCTTTTCCCTTTATTATAATGCATCAAAAATGCTAACTGACATATTTAGCAACACAACCCCCTGCATGATGATTGCAGGAAAGAATTATGTGACTCACTTCAAGGATTTTCTTCTACAGTACAAACAGGAGTTGATTGTTTCCTTTGTGTATGAATATAGTGATGTCAAGTGAGATAGATAATGGCATCAGAAAAAGAAGAATGAGCAAACCTACCTGGGTTTGCTTTGGGAGCATTTTTACAAAACTTGCTCAAAGGTTGAAAACTTAGTGAAAAAACTATCTAAGTTTATGGGAGAATGAATCTTGTTATTTAATGCTGGTAGTTTGTAGGCCTAATAAGCATGTAATTGTCAAACAAAAGGCATAGAAAGCCAGGCACGGCAAAGCAGAACATGCACCAATGCAAAAAGGAAAAAAAAATTTAAATAAATCACTCTCTCTACTTTCACAGAATTGTCAGTTCTCCCAATCAACAGTAACATACACTGACAATATGGCTGCTGTGAGTGTTTTATAGAAAGGGAGCGGGGTTATCCTTCAACTTATTGGCTTGTGAACTTCACAAATCCTTGGGATTCATTACAATCCCATGGCAGCAAAGAATGCAGACCCCACCCATAATCAGAAGCACTCTCTGGAAAACCATTAAGTAGCCTCACATTTCTGGTCAAAGAGAACAAGGCCGCTACTAAGTGCTGCAGCCACTTTTTTAGGCGTTTTTTTGAAAATGCAATTTTATATTATGTATGTGTAATTTTCCTATACCTTCCTTTCAATAAAACATAATATAAGAAAAAGCAATAGAATACAGTCTGAAGAGGCCCATAAAAGCTGATTATCTCCATTAACATAACCAGCCACAAGAACATTCTTAACATGAAGGGCACATTGTATTCTGGGATGCTAAAGATGACAACCAGCTAAATGTAAATACTATATTGCAATATTCTATGGAGTACAAGTCTGTACAATATATACATATATATATATATATATACATACATATACACACACACATTCAGACATGAAATATGACATTCAGACATGAAATACGTATGCACAGAGAACACAGCTATAAAACAAATACTGCTTGCTCTGCTGAGTTCAGACTAATGCTTTTTATTGAAATGCTCGATATCTTGTTCTTGCACTGATGAGATGGGCATATTTATGTATTATACCTCTCACAATGGAAGCATTACATGTTCACGTCTTTGAACATAAATAAAGTAACCAGCCACAAACCTTGGAAATTCAAACTAATCATATGATGGAAAAACCCAGAAAAGTTAAGGTTACTTTCAGTAAAAAATGCTTGCCAAAATGATCAGTAGATCCAGAGGCAGAGACAGCTGAAGTTAAGTGCAAATCTTTTCCTGTAAAAGTCAAATTTCCTCCTTTCCCTCCTGCCTCCAGAGCCTGATGCAATGGGTCACATCACTGACCAAAATGGCAGCATGTGAGAGGGCAGGACAAAGCTTGCTTTTTAAGCAAAAAGTTAAGATTTGCATATAACTTTACTTAAACCATTGAACAATTAAATGCAGTATTAAGTAGCCTCCAGTTATGTATTTTTTTCATATGTTTACTTTAAAGCTAAACTCCAGCCAAACAGCTAAGTACACAAATAAAATGGGATAAAATATTAACTGCAAAGAAATATTGTATTTCTGTTCATCCAGTCCAATTATACAGTTCTGTGGCACAGCAAAGCCCTTTTTGGCAGAGAAGGAGATCCGATCTTTCTGTTCCACAGTTTAGCAACAGCTACAGGTTTCTCGAGTCTGCGACTGAACAGTGAAAAGAGAAGCAGCTGAATGATGGGATCATCCCTCTGTTATTCTAATTTCTCCTCCTGTTGTCCTTTTTAGTACATGAACACTGCAGATCATCTGACTGTCTACTTGTGGTGCCTCTCCTTCTCCCAATCTGATCTCTGCTGTAGACAGGATTGCAAGATAATTTCTAATATATATATGCCCAAAGTTCTGCTTTAAAGAGGCCGGGTTTGTGAAGTGTTTACTTTAAATGTTGAATTTAGAGGATTAAAGGTCTCCATCAGCACTCTTACCTTCACGTTGTTGCAGGATAGGAGGAGGCTGTGGGGTGCTGTGTGTGACAGGTGTAAGAGCTGCAGTGGGATAAATAGCTGTGGTGTGGAAAATAAAATAAAATTATTAACTTAGAGGGCGTGAAAAAAAATGGCATACAGTTACATGTTTATCAAAGCAGCAGTTCAAAATATAGCCCTTGCAACTAGAAATCCACCGTTACATATCAAAGGAGAACAAGGGGAAGCTGAAAGGCACCTGTGGAGAAAGCAAGGGAAGGGTATATCCACTCATCCTACTCATTCTTGTGTCAGGAGACCAGCAAATCCCTGGTCTATAATCCTGCTCCATAGGAAGTGATCTGAACCAAAATGATGTTTTAATCCTGGGGTAGGCTACATCACATAACAAATGACACCTCCCATGGTAAGCCCATCTAAAGCAGACCTGGCAGTAAAATGCGAGGTCTGCTCAAATTTCCTGGGCCTATCCCCTTAAAAATCACCACTATTAGGTAGGAAATGTACTTGTAAAGAAAAAAGATGTAGAGTTATTTTAGCTTTGTCTTCTACGAATAGTAAGTGATTCGTAAAGGGGGAGGGGGCCAGAACAGTTTAAACGAACCAGGCGTTTTACTGCAAGGTCCACTTTAACCCTTTGGCAGGAAACAGATGTATGGGAGGATCAGGGCACAAGTAAAGTGGAGCTAAAAACGTGGAGATGTTTTATAGGGAACATCTAAAAATGTTAATTGTGCCTAAGCAATATCAAAGACAAAATGTAACTTTTGTCTTCAATGTCTCCTGAAAAATAGCAGAGACTTTATTGACATTCAGGCTCATAACTGCATGTCTGCAGTGTGAGATCTAAGGCACTGCTGCATCTGACCGCTAATCTCAGGAGCTTTGGTAATGTCACTACGGTGCTGCTCACTGTGCTCCTTGCTGGAGAGAGAGATGCACCAGATGACCTGTTGCCAAGGAACTCTCTGTTTTTGCTTCATCTATTATGTGGATCTGAACTCTGCACCTTTCCTGCTGCTTCTTGAATATCCCCCATCAGTCAACAAAAAACCAATCATCAGGGGCAGCTATTACATGAGGGAAAAAAAAATTGTCTCTATAAGGCCATTTCTAAAGACGTGGCAAATGAGTATTAGGGTACATATCAGCTGCAGGAAACCACAGGTAATACTGGTGACTTGCCATTTGTCATCTACTTGTCTTTTTTGGGACCAGTTTGCACAGTACAAGTCCTCTTTAAAATGGCTGACGTTTTAAATAATAGTTAACATTAATCGCATGATTGTTTTGAAAAGTCCTAAAAATATTTTTTAAAACATTGCATACTGTATACAATATAAAACAGATATAAAATCCCTTGGATAGTAAGTTCACCTTTAAAAAAAAAAAAAAAACATACATATGTTTATATATATATATATATATATATATATATATATATATATATATATATATAAAGATTTGGCTCCTCCAGGGGAGAGGAAGGAGAGTTAACCATGGCTGGGCCATGGGAGCCTATGGGTGATGTTGCAGCTCTCAGGACATTTTAAAGCAGAACTAAACCCATCAATTTAATAGTTTTTAAACAAACAGTTACATTCCCAGCATTTCGAGAATGCTGTCACATTTGCTTATGCTGTCAAGCAAACTATCAAATCATCAAATGGCTGGTGTCATAACAGATCACATGTGCAGCCTCATGGCATTTGCAGATCAACTAGAGGCCAAGATGGCAGCTTCCTTGACTGAAAAGGATATGAGAGTTTAGTTCTGCTTCAAAAATAGTTAGACTTTGGCTTTTCTTCCCACTTTACGATATCCTGTGATTGACTATTAAAGTGGTTCTAAAGGCTTAAGGTTTTTTAAAAATCCTTCTATGTACAGCAGCCCCACCCCCCAGTCCCCCAATACTTACCTGAGCATTGGCTCTCTGGGGATTCTCTCTCCTCAATGGCTGAGACAGCATCGGGAGCCTTTGGCTTCTGTTGCTGTCAATCATAGCCAGTAAGCCATTGAGGAGAGAGAGGGGGTGGGTCCAAGCCAAGCTCTGTGTTTGAATGGACACGCAGAGCCTGCTTTGGTGCCCCTATAGTAAGCTGTTTGCTCTGGGGGCACTTGGCAGGAGGGAAGGGCCAGGAGCGCTGGTGGGGGACCCGAGAAGGGGAGGGTCAGAGCTGCACTGTGCAAAACCACTGCACAGAGCATGCAAGTATAAAACATGTTTGTTATTAAAAAAAAACAAACAAGCTTGCCTTTAACTGCTTCTGTGCCGCCCTATAGCAGAAATACTGCCACAGGGTGACAAGGGTGAACAAAATCCTGCATATATACGTGACTTTGCAGTTATGGGTAGGGGCATGCGCATGCCCAACACACTACGCCATTCACGGCCTTGGTTGTCAATCACCGGGTCCCGGCCGGTGGTTCCTCACAGGCACTCGTTGATCGCCGAGTATTACCGATGGGGGAGAGACCTGTGTATAAACAACACAGATCTCTCCCGTCAGCTCCTGCACACTGCTTTGTATGGCTCTGCATAGCAGAGCCATACAAAGCAGTGTGCTTACAGTGAAACACAGCCCACATAGTGAAACAGCACACAGCACAGTTAACCCTTTTATTGCCCCACATGTTAACCCCTTCCTGCCCAATACCATTAGTACAGTGTCAGTGCTTTTTATTAACACTGATCACTGTATTGGTGTCACTGGGGATGTCAGTGACACCAAGTCAGTTCCCCCCCCCAGTGTCAGAATGCCTGCTGCAGTTCCACAGTCACACTATAAGTTTCCGATATCTGCCATTACTAGTAAAAAAAAAAAAAAATTCCAGTATATATACTGCCATTTGTAAACTTTCACGTAAACCAATAAATTTACATGTATTGGGATTTTTTTTTAGCAAAGACATGTAGCAGAATACATCTGGCCAAAATTTATGACAAAATTTGATTTTTTAAATTTTTTTTACTGGGTATGTTTAACACCTTCCCGCCTGGCCTAATGCAGATTGACTGTCGGGCCGGACACTTGCCATTGTGACTGGGCATCATATGATGTCCTGTGAAAACGAGCCGTTCACGTGGCCGTGCAGCCGTGCAGCAGTGCGATCTGTCACCAGCTGTGTCCACAGGACACAGCCGATGACATATCACTACACCGGCTCGTTGTCAGTGTCATGTGACTGCTGTGACCAATCACAGCAGATCACATGTCAATTGTATACAATGGATGGCTTCCTATCATGCCATCCATTGTATACAATTATGTTGTTAGCTGTGACTGGTCAAGGCAGTCACATGATACAGACAGGGCCAATCACAGCCCATCTGTATCGTGATCAGCTTTGCCCAATCACAGCTAATCACAACAAAAGACTGAATGAATCAGTTTCATTCAGTAACAATGATTGCAAATATCAATGAAATACATTGGTATTAGCAATCATAATGTGTTAAAAAAAAAGTCCTGATCACTTGCCCAGAGTAGTTCAATGTTACTATGGTAACACTGTATTGCTTTGGTCACAGTGTGCTGAAAAATAAAATAGTAAAAAAAAGAAAAAATGTAATTAAAAATAAAAATAATAATAGAAACATTTAAAAAAAATACAAATTCAATTATTATTATTTTCACCAAAGAAATGTAGCAGAATACATTTTGATCTAAATGAAGGAAGAAATTGTATTTATTTGCAAAATTGTATAACAGAAACAAAGAAAAGTGTGTTGTTTTTTCCAAAAGTTTCAGGTGTTTTTTGTTTTATTTAGCAAAAAATAAAAAAACTCAGTGATGATTAAACACCACCAAAAGAAAGCTCTATTTGTGTGAAAAAATGATAACAATTTCATATGGGTACAGTGTTGCATGACCACCCAATTGTCATTCAAAGTGTGACAGCGCTGAAAATTGGCCTGGCCAGGAAGGGGGTATAAGTGCCTGGTACTGAAGTGGTTAATAGCAAAAAGTCAAAAATATTGTTTTTTTCTCGAAATTGTTGTTTTTTTGTTTATAGCGCAAAAAAATAAAAATGCACAGGCAATCAAATACCACAGAAAGAAAGCTCTATTTTGTGGGGAAAAAAGGACATAAATTTCATTTGGGTGCGGCATTGAACGACCACGCAATTGTCAGTGAAAGTAACGTAGCGCCATATTTCAAAAAATGGCCTGGTCAGGAAGGGGGTAAATCCTCAGGAGGGCAAGTGGTTAATGTCACTTTAACACATACTTAATACCAGGGGCGGACTGACAACTCATGGGGCCCCCGGGCAATAGGGGATCATGGGCCCCTGTGTCCTTGCCCAAACTCAAAAAAGCCTATGAAAAAAGGTACCAGGGGTATCTCATGGGGCCCCCTACTGACCCCGGGCCCTCGGGCAGTGCCCAAGTTTCCAAATGGTCAGTCCGCCCCTGCTTTATACATGATCTATAGCTACTGTATGTACTTTAGAATATGATCCAGAATTGGCACAGGAATCACACACTAATACTGGGAGGAAATGAAACCCCTGTAGTCAGTACTTTGCCAGAACCAACCTGCAGACCTTAGTACTAGAAGGCAGAATTGTTCTACTGTCAAACCTTAATGACTTGGAGAGGATCTGCCTCCAAGCAGTGGGCCAAAATCCCTCCTGAGATGTGTGCAAACCTGGTGGCCAACTACAGCAAACGTCTTACCTCTGTGACTGCCAACAAGGGATTTTCCACCAAGTACTAAGTCATGTTTTGTGAAGGGGATCAAATACTTATTTCCCTCATGAACATGCAAATCAGTGCATAATTTGTTAGACATGCATTTCTTTTGAATTTTTTGTTGCTATTCTGTCTCTTTGTTACAATACACCTTTTAGACTGATCATTTCTTTGTGAATGGGCAAACATTCAGAACCAGGATCAAATACTTATTTCCTTCACTGTATAACAATATTCAGAGCAGCGTTTTTATGTTTTTGTGTTATTTTAGAGGTTACCTATAGGGTAGGGAGTGGTTAGATAAGAAACTGTCATATAAACTGCCCTAGGGGAGGAGAACAAGAAATCCAGGCTGGCATACAGTAGGATACCTGAATACTGCTGTACCCCAGGGAAGGATGGGTGCAGACTCTCCACTGTCAGTGCTGGACTTTGGGCTATAAAAGAAAGCAAAGACAAAACATGATACATTGGTGATACAGTGATGAGGGTTACTGCTGTTTTACTTGTAAGTTTTAAAGTACAACTAACCTGGGTATGGCACAATGCTATTGGTGTAAATTGTATCCAAAGCAGGATGGCTGCTAGGAAATGGTACGAGCCCCGGAAATCCATTGGTTAGTGGGGCAACCAGGCCAGGTACAGCAGCAGTACCAATGACTGGCGGAGAATGTAGTCCTGCGGAGCAAATATAAATGGTAAAAAAATATAAATTAATAGCACAGCTTTAATAACAGCTGTACACAGTTGCTAAGCAACACGTCAGTGTCATTAACCAATGTATTCCTCCCAATGTCACTAAGCAACTTAACTCTTCTCAATGTTACTAAGCAACACAACTCCTGATATTATAAGGCTGCTTCCAGTGTTGCTAAGCAACTGAAACCCTTCTTTATACAAAGGAACTCTGTACACTATTGCAAAACATCTCCCCCTCCCAGTGTTGCTATGCAACTCAATTGCTTTCAGTGTCAAGACGCTACTTGGATTATTACAAAAAATATCTGTTAACCATCTAAATTATTATAGAGTTGTGACAAATCTGGAAAAATGTATCAAACAGGCAGCATTTTATACATATGTTGCTATTGTAAAACAATATACAGTCATAGTTAAAGATCAGTAATTGTCATATAAACTGAAAACAAGAGCTCTCTTGGCACAATTAATATCCGTGATATATGCCATCATGGTATATATATGTTCATTTTGTATAGCACTACAGTGCTTTTTACCTTTTGCTTACCTGATGCTGGTGTGATGGGTGTGGCAGGGAGCCCATTCAGGTTGACAGCTCCTATTTGTTGAATATGGCATGGGGGAAACGCCACGCCAGGGCTCAGATAACTACCGTGAGATGTTGACAGAACTGTTGTCTGCTGTTGCATCAGCTATAAAGCAGAGATAATGGGTTGGACGTTATGCAAACTGGACAAGCATGATCAGCTCACAGATGGAATTTTTTTTAAATGATCCTTTATATTTCTTAATGGTTATAAGTAGTACAAGCTATCATTAATTTGTAATCTGCTAAAACCTTTACTCTAAACCTAATTTTGTTTTAGGAATGATGAGGAGGACCTATACAACCCTTAACAAAAAATCTTTAGGTAATCTTAGTAGTATGGAAATACTAGCCTAAAAAGTAGCAATACCAGCAAGCATCAAACCCTAAAGACGCTTTCAAGTCCAATCTGCAATGGCTCAACACAGATCTTTAAGGCAGTGCTTTCTCTAGTCATAGAAAAAAATGAGCATATTCAAGCAGTGTTTATATTTTCTGAAATCCCCTGAAGCTTGCCTAAGCAACAGTGAGCACTCCCATGAAGAACAGTATTAAAATGGTGTTGAAGGGTACTTCAAGAGCTTGAAGAAATCACTCGAACCTTATGATTACCGAGGATTCTTTTAAGGCTAGTGATTGTGTTTGTCACCTAAGATCAACCAAATCCCATGTGTTTAGGGTCTATGCTTAGAGCCAGTGTAATGATAATCCTCTGGTGACCTTCTCCTTTTCCTTTGCTGCTACTACCTGTCAGCCCTACTGACCTCACAGAAAAATTCTTTAACAGCAAAAATGAGGGAAAGCAGAGCGAAGACTGATGGTACTAATGAATGCTGCTGGAAGTATCCTATGTGTCTGCAAACATTAGAAGAGTTGTACAATCAAGCTCCCATCACCTTTACCAAGATCAGTGCAAGACTACTTCACATCATTAGGATCTTGTTCACACTTGCTCAAAAGACTGATGCAGAACAAATGCGTCTACAGTGTTAAGGCATGTTAACCCCTTGGCGCTGGCACCTCCTGGCCCTTTAAGGGTTTCAAAAGCAGGGAGGCGGGGCGGGGTTTAGGGTCATGTGACCACCGTGACGCGCCGTCACGGTGGTCACATGATTGGGAATGGTCCCAATCGAAAGAGGAGATCGGGACCTTTCCGTGAGTACCGGACATGTGTTCTGGGAGCACGCAGGGTGTGCGCTCTCAGCACATATGTTCTTTTTTAATAGAACGCAAATGTGCAGCCGCTCTGTGTCTAGGTCCAGATGCCAGGAGGCTGCACATTTGCGCTCTGCTGGCGTATATGACGTGCATTGAAAGCACATTAAAGCGAAGTTACACTCAAAAGTGGAAGCTCCACTTATTTGCCTCCTCCTCCCCCTCCATTGCCATATTTGGCACCTTTTGGGGGGGAGCAGATACCTATTTTTGACAGGTACCCACTCCCACTTCCGGTCCAGTTTGCTGCAGCGAAGTGGCCGGAAGTTTCGCCCCCTCCTCCCTCCCACGGTCTCCTGGGAACTTTCATAGGTCCCAGGAGACTGCCAGACCAATCAGGAGGTGCAGCGCGACTCGTGCATGCACAGTGGACACCAGGCTGTGAAGCCGCAAGCTGTCACAGCCTGGTGCCCACAGTTGAGATGCTGGTGCAGTGGAGGAGAGAAGGAGAGAAGGGACGGCATGGGTGAGTACATCGCTGGACCCTGGACAGGTGTGCGTTTGTTAAAAGTCATCAGCTACAGTTTTTGCAGTTGCTGACTCTTAATAAACACAAAAACGGCTTTAAAATGCATCCCAGGAGCCTTTTTTTGTTGTTGTAATAAATAAGGCCAAACGCTCTGCAAAGGAGTGCCATTGCCTGCCAGCGCATTTGTAGCATATTACCATTGACTTTAATGGAAAGAACTGAGATGCTTCAACTCCTTCCAAACTCGACAAGTAGCTTCATTTTTGAAGTGCAACGACGCAACACAAACGCTTCATGTTTTGATAATATGAACAGCTCTGTGCACTGTCCATATTATTGATTGCAGACTGCTTTACTAGGCATTTGAGAGTAAAAAACACGCCCTAAACGCCTGCTTTTAATACTAGTGTGAACTGGGCCTTACATAGAATCAAACTTATTCTAACATCATCAGGACAAATCTAATTCAAGTAAGAACCTGGACTTCTATATGTGCGTTTTACACATATCCACATGGTGGAATTTTTTTAAAGGCTGCTGTTTATTAGTTTTGTTGTTAGCCAAATGCGCAAAATAAGGACAATGGTGGGACAACCATATCAAGTCAATGGCAGAAAAGGCTGATGTGTTATACAGTTGTCATAACACAAGGGCAATCTTTCCCAACAATTCTCAGCCAAAATGAACTCATTCACTATTAGTTGTTGGTTATCTGCCCCAGGGAAGCAGTACTGAGAATTTCTCTCTTCTAGTTGTGACGTACTAAGTGTCTCTCCAGCTCTCAGCTGCATTTCCTTCCAATCCCAGCTCAGTCTCTTCCCTTTCCTAGCTGTCTGTCTTTAGCTCCCCAAGCTGTATATATATCTGCATTCTCTGCTTCATTTTTTTCAGTTGTGCTCCATCAATCACCAATCCATATTCCATTTCACGTTATCACAAGCCCCATCGTTCAACAGTGCAAGATTTATCACTTCTAATTTCCAGCTCCCTATCTCCAGGTCAAAGCTGTACATCTTCCATCTGTAAGTCCTTCTTTTTCACTTGCACTTTGGAATACAAATTATGACTCAATCTCATAGCTCATGTTCGGTTGCCAGTTATGTATAGCTTTTCTAACCCCCAGGATTTTGTACTACATAAAATCAAATATATAAATGCTAAATACCTATGCTTTAAAACCTGCGTTTTATCTATAGACCTAGCTATAAACTTGTCCTTACTATGCACACCTTACCAAAGCTATAGAAGTCATACCGATTCTGTTGTGGTAGTGTAGTTCAGTTGTCACAAAGTGGACTTCTAATAATTAGAGATGAGCTTTGGGTTTTAGTTGAACATGAGTTCCACCTGTATCCAGCCTGTTCACAGTTCGGTGAACAAACAGACCATTTCTGGCCAGTTTGCCAAACTGGACCCCTAAGCTGATGTTTATAAACAAACATCAGCCAGAAGTCTATCATATTGTGACAGCAGTATGGCCACTGTGTTTGTAAACAGACCGTCCAGGGATGTTAGGTGATCTCATGACCATATTTTGCCAGTGATGACACCCAGCATCCTTAGTTGGTTTGTTTTCATACAGCAGTTAGATGAGGATCTATCATTTGCAACGGGAGTAGGGATAGGAGATCATCAGGCAGTGACAGGGCCGTTCTTAACACACGGGCACCCCTTGTTCCCCAATCCCCCATCCAGGGGCAGACTGACCATTTGGAAACTCGGACACTGCCCGAGGGCCCGGGGTCAGTAGGGGGCCCCATGAGATGCCCCTGGTACCTTTTTCATAGGCTTTTTTGAGTTTGGGCAAGGACACAGGGGCCCCATGATCCCCTATTGCCCAGGGGCCCCATGAGTTGTCAGTCCGCCCCTGCCCCCACCCATCTCAGTTTCCAGCACTCTCCTGGTGCTTTGTGGGGTAAAGGGAGAACCCCTGAAGTGAATCATCTTACTGCTGCCGCTGTTTGCTTTGGTGGGATGTGTACTCCTCCAATCCCCATCGACCCTCCTCTCTTATTCACCCTATGTGATCGAAGCAGTACACATTCTGCCCACACAAGCAACAGCAGTAGTAAGATGCTCTGCCTTGGGGGAGGTTGTCCCTTAAACCCTGCAAAGAACCAGAAACTGCATGGAGAAGGTAGAGGGGGACGTGGGACATGTCATTCTGATTATAATTTTAGCCCAGTGACAGAATGCCAGAACTGGGAAGATATGTGACAGCAGCTTCCCTGTGCTGCTCTGCTTGAAGAGACCATCTCTGTATTATATATTTTTGCACCCTATGCTGCACTCTCCTGACCCCTTTACTGTACCCTCCTGACCTCCCTGTACTGTACCCTCCTGCCCCCCTGTACTGTGCCCTCATGCCCCCCCCCAATTCTCTGTACTGTGCCTTCAATGCCGTGCTGACCCCCCTACTCTGCCCATCTGACACTCTGTCCTCTGCGCTATTGGCTTTTTATATTGTTAGAAATCTAAGGCCTCCTTATTATAAAAGGGGGCTTTTAGAGTCTGATAAGTTTCCCTTTTGGGGACAGAATGTTGGGATGAGGCCCTTATGCCCTCCACATAGGAAAACGTTATCTTGCAAGGTGCCTCAGGTAAACAAACAATGTCCCTTTTAAAGGAGTACATTGTACTGACCCGTTATTTCACATGTAGGTTTAAAGGTATCCCAAAAGCATGTTATTTAAAGGATTTGATTAACAATGCACTTTAAAAGACCCTCTCCTTATAGAACGGTGTCTTTTTCTAATCTTTGTTTTTGTATAGTTATTTGTCCCCAATGGCAGTGCTCAGTACCCATGCCTTTTTTTAACAAAAGCCTTAGAAAAGGCAGGAGAAAAATAGTATGATTTGACATAGGCTTCAATGGAGTTTGGTGCTCTGTCTGGTGTTTGGGAGCTTTCCAACAATTAGACAAATGACAAGCAAATTGAATTTTGCCTGGTTTGCCAATCATTACTAATCTATCTAACATTTGTATTCAACATTTGTAGAGATAAACTGGCAGAAGTTGGGAAAGGAAGTGTGCTATAGCATAGAAACCAACAGGCTTGTTTAATAAGTACAAAGTCCTAAGACTTACCAACCAACATGATTTTTACTTTGTGTTTGTTGTTGAAGGATACTGCACATGATCAGTGCTCTTCTTTTTTAAATAAGCCAGCCAGATGTCTCTATGTACAACCTACTTCCTCTTCTATCGCAAATTAATTTTCAGTGATATACAGAGAATAGGTGCAGGAACTCTCCACCTTTTGAGTCACCATTATCTCTGCCCCCTACCCACCTCCAAGTACTGTCCCTTGGTTCCACCTCCTACCCACCTTCCAGGACCGCCCTTTTTAGAGAATACAGAACCAAGTATAATTTTGTGGTACTTAAGTAATTTGTATGTAATGTGTTAATGATAATAAGAAAAATCAGTAGAATACAGTAGATCCCCTACAGCCAGCAACAATTGATCCCCCACACAATAGACTCCCCAGCAACAATGGACCCCCCCACAACAAAATACCAGCCAGCATCAATATTCCCTCCAGCAGCTTGCAACAAAAGACTCTATAAAAGGAGATCCCTACAGCAACAACTGATCCCCTCCCAGCAATAAAAGACTCTCCCAGCAACAATAGACCTCCATGCAACAGTAGATTCCCATCAGTGGCAATGGATCCCCCAGCAGCCAACATCAATAGACCCTCCAGCACGCCCCAGCACCCTTTGCCATTACATACATTCAGCGCCGGAGGTGCTGAAACTGCGCTCCTCCCACGTTCCCACTGAAAAAAAGCCCTGGTGATATAACCCTAAAGTACAGCTCATGTTGTTCTATTATGTATTATAACTGCCTCTCCTTTGCATCAAATGGACCAATAGCTATGTGCAGATCTCTACAAATCACTACATTCTCACTTTGATTAGTATATACAGTATTTATTCACCCCCAGGTTATTTTTACTGATCTATAGATGACTGCTTAGTACTCCATCTATGCAAAGTCCATGCTGTCCTTAGCCTGTCTGTAAGGGTGGTAAGCTATCAGTTGTTTAATTACTACACCACAAGTTCACATTTTGTCTAATGACTCTTAATCATTTTGCAATATATCATTTCTGTTTGCTTGTTGCCACGCTTATACACCTATTTGCCCTGAGGACACAGAATTGTTTAATGTTCATATATACACTAAAATGCAGCCTACACAGAATAAGCCCAGGTCTACATTCAAGCTTGCTTACACATCAAATCTGAGAATACTATAAATGAGTCACACTTGTATCACCTGCCCAGTGCAGTTATACAACTGTTCACATAAAATGTAAAATGTTGCATATTTGTGATCTATCAAGGGAATTTTTGTTTAAAACCCACTGCATGAGTTATTCTACTTCCACACTGACACAGCAATCACTAGTTCAGTCTAGTTTACTACCCGCACTACATGTGCATTCTGACAAAGCAAATTGGAACACTTACCGCTTGTGCATATGCACTGTATGGACTTATGGGGAGTGCTAATGATGGGGTAAAGATTCCCAGCTGACCAACCATTTGTTGCATCCGGCGCAGTGTTCTCTCCTTATCTGTATCCGCAAATTTAACCACAAGGCTGGATGAGGCACCCTGGTAGTATAGGGTAAAAAACAGTGAAAATACTAGGTCTGTTATTATAGTAAGGAATGGATACATTATAAACTGGTCATGAACAACTACAGTATGTTTCAGGCAGCATAAAAAGGTAACATAAAACAAGCATTATTAGGGTCCATGCACACTGGGCTTAACAAAGTTCTTTTGGCAGAAAAAAACACTCATATAGAGCGTTTTTGTACAGGAGTTTATGAGCGTTTCGCGTTTATTTCTGTCAGGAAACTCCTCCCAAAACACAATCCAGAAGAGTTTTCTTTTCTGCCAATAAACGCTGAGCTTAATATATGTCTCTGAACGTCCTAATATGCATGGACACATAGGATAACACTGAGCAGCCTCTACAGGAAAACCGCTAAACTCCTGTAGAAGCATTTTAAGCCCAGTGTGCATGGACCCTAAATCATTTTATTTTAGAATGGAACTCCAGAAACTAACTTTATTGCCAACCTTCATTGGTCCAACTTGGGATGATATTGCCATTTAAGCTTTATCTTATATCTGAATTCTTGCGATGCCAAAACCATTGTAGTAGCCTGTACTACATACAGAGATAACAGCGCTCTTCTCAGTTCTGCTCAAGTGGTTTCCCCTCTGCACACTGAACACAAGGGATCACTTTCTTGGCACTGCTGCAATTTATAAAATATCTAGTTTTTTTCTTCAATGAATGCAAGACATTTTCCGTTTGAGGTAAACATCACAACATCACTGCCTCTCCTTTCTACGTCAATTAGAAAATGCTTGGAATCACTGGAAAAATACATTCTTTCAATAGCAGTGGTGCCATGCGAATGAGGCCATGCGAGCTGTGCCATGTGAGCAACCCCCTGCTATGCAGAGGGGAAGTTGCTTGAGCAGGATCCAGAATAATCGGGGTTATCATTGAATTTAGTGCACGCTACTCCAGTGGTTTTCAGCACCCCCAGTGACCCTCCTCTATAAGATTTTGATAATTATATTGTGCCAAGCTGAACCAATAAAAACTGGCAATAAAGATAAATCCTGGGGTTCAACTTTAAGGGAAACCTACATGGAGAGTAAGGTGAAAGTAGCCACTGCTAACTTCTTGCAACAATGCTAGCTATTTTGTTGTCATGCTAACAGAATGCGTTCAACAGTTTGAGTCACCAACCTGAAACAAGTATGCAGATCAAGAGTTCTGAGTTTGCAGGTCAGTCACTCATAAGCTATGTTAGATGCAGCCAGGTAGCTAGTATTTTCAGAAGAAGGCCAACAGTGATAGCCTACAGATTTCTTTCAGTGTGGGTTTTTTTCAGCTGACTGAAACGGGGTTTCTGTGCTGCCCATAAGAAACAACAAATTTATATCCAATTGACTAGTGCAAGTTAGAAAAGAAACCAAGATTTTGAACAAAATTTGTGCCAAGTAATATATTTTTCTCTACCTTACAACTTTTATGAGCGGCTATATGTAATTTAAGAATAGGTCACCTACATTGGCTAAGTTATCTTTCTTTCTTAAAGAATTTGAAAATGTTACCGGTTGTTGCTTCGTGAGGCCGGGATACGTATAACTTACTGGCATTGTCTGACTTCCATGCAGGGCATGTATCGCTGCCTGAGCTTCAGCATGAGATGAAAACTTTACAAAAGCACAGCCTAAAAAACAAAACAGTACAGAGACTGCTAAGAATCCACAGTTCAAAAGGTAATAATATCATAGTTTAATGAATAAAATATGACTAACTACTTTCCACAGACAGACATACAGGTATTACATTGAAATTGGAGCTACACCCTGTATGTGTCCCTACATCCTTCCCTCACACCTTGGCCTACAGCTGCCTCCTCAATTTCCCACCTGCTATAAAGGGTGCAGTGACTGTTTAATGTGTACAGAAGCAGTCACTTTGGTAGAAAGCAGTGCTCTCCCATAGGGTGGGGGTATGAAGGAAGACACTACATCAAAAAAAAAAACCTTGCGTGGCACAAATGAATGGACATTCTATGGTCACAAAGGCCAACAAGCCATGGGTCTTTAAAAGGTTTTGTAATCCAAGCCTTTTTCTCAGATCAGCTGACAGAACAGCCCACTTTCTGAACTTACCTTTGCTGCTTCCATCAGGCCCCCGTAGAACAGAACATTCCTCAATAGAGCCAAAGGCTTGAAACATGCTGGTCACCTCTTCTTCTGATTGTTGTTTGCTCAGCATCCCCACAAACAGTTTGCGGTCACCTACGGCCCAATATTAAAGTTAGTGCCAGCTGCCACATTCTATACTGGGGTTTACAGATGTATCTGACAAGAATGAAAATGCCATTGGTGAAGGCGATATAAAAATATATTGGTGTTTTATACTACAAGGGGCCTACCATATGCGGGGTTTTCAAGACAGGCAGCACATTTCAATCCATCTAACAGTACTTTTCTTACCTCACATTGATTTATTATCTAGTAAACAGTAATGATGTACATATACAGGTTGATTACCTTGATAGATTAACCTGCTTTACACATAGAATTCCAATAACCATCTGATAAATGTTGGAAAAATGACTCATTCAACCAATGGATGTGTTCTGCACTGGGATGGTAGATCCAGATGTGTAATGGCCACCCATCTGTCAAATCCCCAGTATAACCCAGATGTTCACCACTGAAGATGAATTCCAGGATCACAGATGAGATGTTAGGAACAAGGATACAAAGACATTCATTGGAAAATGCAGTCATTGCACAACTGGACTTTTAAATTTTGGCTGGTCGCTGCACAAATGTTCAGTTGCCCAAGCTTATATTTTCTAACCCCTACATGGGAAATTACTTGCAGGTTAGGTTATAATGTCACAATGCAAGGTGGTAACTGACCTGTATATGTGAAATTTGTTGCCTGGAGGCCCATTCACAGTGGGTCTTATGTATCAACATGTTCTTACCTGGAAATGGAGTTATTCCCCAATAGCCATCAATCAGATTCAAACTTGAAGGGCAAGCCTGATGCTATTTGGTGGATAAACAATAGCAATCCACGTTTTTAGTAAGAACACTTTGATACATAATATTTGCCCAATTCAAACACATTAACTCATGACAATCTGTTTTTAATGCCAATGTAAAATCCCATTTAATGACGCTATTGACATTTCTAAGGCATGTGTGCAACACATGGAATGGTAAATGACACAATATACTACATACTACACATGCAGGGTTTACTCATGCACATACAGCAGCTGCACCACTACTGTATATTGTAATACTGTGTTGAATGACATTCATGTGACCGAAAAATGACAAATGTATTGACTGAACAATATGTTAATCTCTTATACATATAGTAGCGTGTACATATTCCTCAGGGTGATTCAAATGTATACATTTTCATGCAATTAGAATGCCATTATTCCATCTACCACATGCCTGTGGACTTAACACAATTGCACGCACTCATGTGTAATTCATGCAGAGTGGCAGACAAATGTCAGCGACCCACTAAACATTCCACAATATTGTATTGACATACTACACACAGCTGATACAGACCCCCCCTTTCTCCCCCACACACATGCTGCACAGAGCATCCTACTCCCTCTACCTCCCATCTTGCATGCTCTATTGCACTCCCTCTCTCTCCACAATCTCCCTCCACACAGACACACACCAGACCCCCCCTCTCTCCCCCCAAGAGCTTCTCTTTTTCTCTCTCCACCCCCTGACTGGCAATTTCACATGTCGTCCGGCAACCATGAAGATGTGTGTCTGAAGCTGAAAGCATCATCTGGTTGCCATGGCAATAGGCTGTGCCGGCACGCGGAGTGCCAGGGTGGTGGTGATGTATATTGCAAAGGGTTTAAGGAGTGCTCAGCTGCTGCAGACAGTGGCGGCAAAACCAGGTCAGGGAGGCTGGGCTAAGCAGGGGGATACTGGGACGCATGACTATATAATGATGATGATGAGCATCCTTGCAATAATAATAAGCATTTTAACCTGTGCAATCTAGTAGTAAAATGCATCTCTCTTGAACAATGCATGTTGCAAAATGATATAGAGAATGCAGACATTCGCAAACACATGTATACTCATGATCATTCCACAACTCACTTGAGTACACTTTTGAAAAAAAAATATCTTTTAGCAAAACTGACTACTCAGTATGCCCGATGATGCAATAAACATACTGGATTTAACAAGCACATTCCAACAGGCATTGACTACCGACACAATAATAATGAATTGTGCTGCCCTGTATTATAATGATACACGGAATGACATACACATATGATTAAATCACCGTACAATATGATGATGCACAAAAAAGACAGATTTTTAGGTAATAGTGGTTCAAAACCAAGCCTTAGCTCTTGTAAGTCCAAATCTTTAGAAAAACAGCCGTCAGATGAAAGAGAAAACATTGGAGAGGCCGGATTTAATTAAGTGTACGATATTACAAATGTCTTGATTGAGAGCCACCAATCTGTCCATGAACTATGTTCAATGCTTTCAGCTATAAAATGATGATGAGTCTCCACACAGTGACAATGACCATGGCTCTCAGTATGAATCTGCAGTAATGAACATGCTGTGCTGTATAATGACACAGTGTAAATGCACATTGATGTTGAACACTCTGTGATCTAGGGTGTATAATAATCAATGTTTTACATGAACACACAGGCCCGCATGAGGATGGTTCTCTGAACTCAGGGATTCAGGATTGCTTTGGAAGACACTGCTAAGTATTTTCCCAGTTCTCATTGGATACATACCTCCCCGACTTTCGCTGTCTGCGGGCTTCACCTGAATGGGCCGTGCCATCTGGAACCAGAGAACACGCGGGATAAATGACCCAGACCTTTATTTAATACTGAAAAACGTATAGATTTTTTTTTTAATGCTTGTGCCACACTGCACTAGCTCAAAAAGAAGGGTCATAATTGTCCTGCAAACATCAAACAGTTATAACAATTTATTCAGTCCAAAAGATGTCATATAATTACAGTATTCTGGTCATTTTAAGTGATTTTAAAATATTTGCAAAAAGTGCGCAAACATTTTTAAATTTTAATTTGTCATGAAAATTAGAAGTAATTGCAACATCCAACATACATGTACCAAAATTAATATATCATTGGGTTTTTTAAAGCAGAACTAAACTGCATCTGAGCACCACAAAATGAAATCGCTATTTAATTAATTTTTCATATTCAAAGCAAACTCATCCATCCATGTCTCCATACTTTATTTTGTTGAGAATTAAAAAACATTGCTATCATTTCTGGCAGTGGCCATCTTGAGTAAGGGCAGATGATTCATGCAGGATTTTCTTCCTGTAATCCTTCTGCCCTTAGCTCAGAATGAAGGCAGGAGGGTGTGCTTAGCTGAGAAAGCCCCTCCTCCCCTCCTGGGATGTATGCCATCATTTTGGCCTAGCCAAGAAACCAGAAAGCAACTGAACGAATGCAAAAAAAGTTTTAAACAAATAAATATAATATACCGTCCTATCTATTTACTAATGCTAGCTGCATCAGGATTAAAACTAGTCGATGTTGATTTAGAAAGTTTAGTTCCACTTTAAGACAGTGTTGGGTTGATTTGTATTGTGCAGTAATTCCTAATGTTTAGTATTATTGAGAAATTGCTTTTTGCCCCATTTCATCCTAAGATAACTAGCCCAGTAGGGTATTTGTAAATCCTACTTTGAGTCATCTTTTCCGTATTTTGCACTGATGAGGGCCAAACAGGCTGAAACCGCTGTGTTCAATCTAAAAAAAATAATTCTGTAAATTTAGGCTGTATCTGTGCTATATGGAGCAGTACTGGATGCAGTTAGCCACGAAGGCAAACATGACTCCCGCCCTTATCCTAAAACAATGGAGAAAACCTTGGAATTATGTTGGAAATGATGACATTCAAACACCTTCCATTTTAGAAATGCACGTGGTAATTTACTGCCTACAGGTCAGTGAAAACAAAGGCAAATTCAGATGTGGATCCGTGTACTTTGTATATTTGCTGTTTACAGAGCTAAATAAGGCTGGTCTACAGTATGTTTATATATATATATATATATATATATATATATATATATATATATATATACATACACACACTGGATATTTGATGCATTTGGTGACCTGCCCATTTAATATATTCCCTGTTTAGAATAGACTGATTGACAAAACGCTAATCAACAGCTAAGAAAAAAAAGAGTAGAATGCAGAATAAGTAATATTCATCATATTGCTGTGCTGCCCCGTGGTGCTGACCCAGAACACATCACCAATAAATAGGCTAGCCTGTCTCTCAAATACAGAATATGTATGAGCTGACTGTGCAAAACAGACAACCTAGATAGCAGCTTGGAAATTCACCCACCTAAAGTGACCTTTGACACATACCAGTTTGAAAGCTTAAAGTCAACTCAAAGCTCTAAATATCATACTTTGTAAATGATATCGCTTACTTGTATTACATCCATGTTATGTGTTTAGGAAAACAAGCAGTTATTGAATTTCATTATGTTCATGGCTTTGTATCTTATTCTTCTTATATTATGGAATGTTTATTGCTATTCTACATAGTTAACGGCTAAGAAATCCCGATGCCAGTGCTGCTGATTGCTGCTATTCTTGGGATTGAAGGTAATATGGATATGAAACCTAATACGGGCAAAAGGAATATACACAATAGCAAGTTATACATAGATTTCTACAAAGGTAAAGCTCTGAATTTAATGTGTTACCTTTAATAGATTAAATAGCCCCAAGTATCCATAGGGACTGGTTAGCGTGTTTAGTCTGCATCATCTCTTGGGCTAATCACAATATTGGCTTCAGATCAGTGAGCTTGAATATGTGTAAGCCTATACTATGTGCAATTTGGATCTCATTAGAGAGCTAAAGAAAGAAAGTTCAGTGAACACATGGTTTCTACGCATGATAAAGTTAAGCAATAACAAACGCTACTGAAAAAATAAATATTTTATTTTATTAAATTGTATCCAAGGACAATATTTTTTATTTTTGATTTGGATAAAGCTGTCATGGATTAGAAATGTTGTCCCTTTATTGTTGTCTATGTCATCTTTTGGGAGATTCAATCTCTCTTTCTCCTAATGACTATTGTCACTGGGACAAAAAAGTGAAGGATAAACCAACAATTTCAGTTGCCACCAGAACAAGAACAGGAACATAGTAGTCTTCCATTGGGGACACTGGTTGCGATAACAGCTGTCCAGGGGAGGATTTTGCTTGCTAAGATTTTTTTCTCATTTTCCTGTTGTGTGTGTACAGAATAGGAAGTAAGGGGAAATTTCCCCAGTAGGGCACAGATACTGTTTATTTGGTGTACCATTCTCTAAAGTTGCATTTCTTTTTACACATTTTGCATACAAGCAATGTGGTAATGAAATGTTAACTTCTTTTTCCTTTATTTGGTCTTATAGAAGGTATTAAGGTAATGCAATAAAGGAAGGAAAAGGGAGTAGCCTACAAACACCTTAAAGTTTGGTCAGTAGGGCCAACTAAAAACCAAACAACTACACTTTTTTCTAAGCGCTGCCTAGAAAATAGTATGGGATCAAAGCCAAGTCTGTACAGTTTAACAGTTGGCTATGCTAGATTTAAGTTCTCCTCCATTGGTCCCTCTCCATTTCTAGGCAGTGAATGTATACATATCTGCTTCTATGTTCAGCCTGAGGCTCAGATTCTGGAAGCTGCTTGGTGTAATTTGTATAAATCAGAAGAATACCTTCTTCTGTCAGAAGAATCTGTGAAGAACTGTGGTCGCTGAACCAAGAATACTCAAGAATATCCTTTTGGAGCTTTTCAATTAAAGGGGAGTCTACGTTTCTGGGAGACACTCACAGTTCTGTGCACTTGGGAGTTTTCACTAAGCTAGATTTTTTTAATGGCTAAGTTTACCTATTCCAGGAAACAGCCTATGTAGTCAAGGGGCCCCAGTAGATATGGAAAACAGCAGCTTTGTAAAATGTTTATTATGCTATTAGAGGCCCCTGGATGCCAGGCTGAAAACTTCCAGATAGCAATTCCCACATCCTACCTCCTTGATAGGATACAAAAAATTTTGGATGCTCATATACAGCATTATAGGAGTAAAAACCAATGGATTTCAAGTCCTACCAACAAGGCAGGCTGTGAAGATTGCTAACTGGGAGTTTTTCAGCAGGGCTTCCTGAAAGGTCCAAATGACCAACAAGTATAACAATACATTTAATGAACATTTTACAAAGCAGCACAATTTTGAAATACTTATTGGGGCCCCTTGACTACGAAAGCTATTTTTTGGAAAAGGTGAACCCAGCCTTTAAGGCTTGGTTCCCACTTGAGCTTCTTTAAGAGCTTTTGGAGCGTTTTTTTTTTTTTTTTTATGTGCATTTGAATGCACATTTTTTAGGCATTTTCAGGCTTGAGCTTCTTGATTTAGACAATGGAAAGCTAGTTCCTAAGAGAAGGAGGAGCAAGAAATTGCTATAAAAATGTGTTTTACATGGTTTTTCAGAGTCTTACAGAAGCTTCAATTGAAGTGTATAGCAATCAAAACCACGCGAGAAGCTCATCTACTTTTTCAAGCTTTGAACAGCATGCTTCATGCAACAGGATACTCTGGTGTGAATGGGTGCCATTGAATAAACTGCAATTGGAGTCTTGATGTTGAGCACTGAAGTACATCAGGAAACGTGCTCAGGTGTGAACTGGACCTTATCTTTAGGAACATTGGGCAGTTACTTTCATTGATATAGACTTGCATCTGTGGATTTAGCCGCTCAAGTATGTGGATCTCTCTTAGTGTATGATTTGATTGGTACACTCAAAAATAGTCAATTTTTTACTTGGTCTTCTTTAGATCTCAACATTTAATGTTACTCTACTTCTCCATTACAGTATTATTTACACTGCCAGTTTTTGCCAGTAGCAAAAGAGACTAAGGGTTGAATTTGATTTCACACAGCTGGAATGTCATAAAAAGCTATGTGGCATAGCGCTGCGGTTTTCAATTATAGGCGATGACAACCATGGCAGCTGAATGGATTTCTTGACAGTGGGATGAGGGCTATGTATTGTTTGAGGCAGTACAGATATAAGTTTGATATATAGACGTCTGAATGGAGAGCTGAGTTTGCAGGTGTAATATACAGGACAATGGGTGTAGTGTAATTTATATCTGTCTGCTATAGCTGCATGTAGCGATATTAGTGAACAGACAGAGTAACAAATTTTGACATGTAAGGTTAATTGGTATGTGTACGGAGGATTCACTGTCTGTAGTGAAGGAGCTGTGGATTATACAAGAAGTTATATGTATAGGGTTGAGTATAATAAGGATGATCTCATGGTGTGAAAAGTTAGGTTTTTATTTATTAGTAAGACTGGGATTTATTTACTAAAGCTGGTTCACTGAGAATCTCATGCACTTCTATATAGAAGCCAATCAGTTTACAGGTTTTATTGCTAAAGCTAATTGAACAAGCTGAAGATAGAAGCTGATTGGCTACCATTGGACACTGTTCCTGGAATTGAAAAGAAAAGTTAAACACGTCACCTTCTGATCATGTATCATGCTATATACATATTTAGGGTGTACCATTTCCCAACCTTCCAACTGTAAACTGCCCACACACTCCACTTACCAGAATCAACGACCTCATCCATTTACAGATCCATTCCCAGTGGTCTATGAATGTTAAGCCAACATGGCAGAGGGACTCGTAGATCGCACCAGCAAAAATGCAGTAATGTCCTAGCACTTGTAGTTTATTGTTTGCTTCCTCCAGCCCCATTATGGTAGGTCTGTAC